TGCCTCCAAATTAAATGTGGTAAAATGTAATTTTTCAAGTTAATCCATCAATCTAAACCACGAATCCTAAGTAGCACAAAATAACTGTTACTTGTCACTTTTAAAAACCCTTTTAGAAAAATTAAAATCAAAACTCAATGACTTCTGTTATGAGTAAGTAGTTTTCATATGTAAAAATTAAAAATACACTCCCAATTACTCCGTATTATATAATTTTGGCGAAATTGTGTCCTTAGTTCAGTAGACCCAAACAATGTCTTACTCATTATTTATATACGTATTACTTAATTAAATACACCCTGATTGATTAGTCATTGCTATGTACACTATTGTAAATTTTTTATCTGCAAACATATATACTCAATTTGGTGACTCTCTTTTTCGCGTTATCAATTTTATCACATATATACAAAAATTTAAATTTTGATTTTCACATGCTACATTGTAAACTGATAAAAATAATTAAAGTTGAAGTTATTTACCGACTTAATTGGCTAAAGTTAGTCTAAATGACCATTTTAACTATTTTAGTACAAGTGTTTCTTTATTTTACTAAAAATAATTAATTATTTTTCATAAATCAGTAGAATCACTCAATCCAGCCACTTCAGCTACAACTTCCTAAATTTTGGTTGAATCAATCAATTTCAATGTAATGAAATGGATTCTTAATCTATATTCTTTCTAGATTCAAAGACTCGCTCTCAAATCACAACAAATACAAATACATACTTTGTAAAAGTAAAAACTCTGAAGTATGTATTATTTAATAAAATAACCTAGAAAAATATGGTGGGTTTGTGAAAAAATTAATTTCACAATTAAAAATGAAAAAAAATGTATTGAGTGAGTAGAGGGTGAAAAAAGAAGAAAGGAGAGAGACTTTTGCTCCTTGCTTTCTATCGTTTTCTCTTTTAGGTTTTCATTGGTATTAATAAATAATGTATTTAAAAGTTGCTAATTCTCTATTTCATTTTGCGGTGGGCACTTCTCCAATAAATGATACCCCCTCTGTTCCATTGTAATTTTCATGTTTTCCTTTCCGAGTTGTTCCTAAAAAAATATCATATTTTGTTTTTTGAGAAAGAAATATGTAGTCCACATATTATACTTAAAACTCACTAACATATTTTACTTTTTAAAAATTACTTTGTTGATAATTGTGCCAAACCAAAGCAAGACACATACAATAGGATAGATGTATTTCTATTTACTGATGAACATTTGATAAATAGATAAACTTTGTTCACCTAAAAAAGAGTACTAAAATATGAGCTCATAGTGTTTTGATGAGTAACTTTTGTATTGCACGTTAGAAGTGGCAAGGGTGTCCGCTTTGTGGAATAATACAATTCATATTTAAACTTTAGTTACAAATATTTATTCTTGAAGAAATAATTGATCATTGATCTTCTTGATGAATCTTACATCCAAACAATTGATGGTGATTTGTAAAGTCTGAATAGAATCAAACATATCAAATGCAAGAAATAATCCTAATACATAATAAGTCACTATTTTCTCTTGAACTATAAAAATTCTTTTTTTGCTTCTTAGTGAACCTTTATTTCTCTTGGTTAATATACCTTTCATTTCATATCTTGTATATTATCATGTGAATGTCGCATATTAGATCGAATAAGAACCTGTAATAGTTAGATATGTACTAGATATTTTTCACTTCGAATGATTTTTTATTATGAAACTAGAAAAATATGGTCTAGCCCATTGTGCGTTTGCATTTTTTACTTATTTTTGGGTCCCCGTTCACATGAAGGAGCACTAAATACTCTATTTTTAAATTGATGCAAGTGTTAACATCTCAAGCGCTACAAGTAATCATATCAAATCTACGTACATACAATACACATATTTCTCAATAAAACATACATTGGGCATTTTATTCAATCGCGCAACGCGCATGTTAAAAACTAGTATTAAAATAAGGTGAGAACTCCGGTACGCATTTATAAAATGGGGTACCGTACCTATCATTCACTTGATTGGTCCAAATAGGTATATCATTCTGATTGGTTCATGTGAACAAATGCATGGTACCTTATGAGTACCATAGAATCTACCAATAAATCCAAAACAATGTTTTCCAATATGGAAGTTCATGACATTTCAAAAGGGTTGCACCCGGGATGGAGGCCAAACTCCGCCGTCCGGACGGCGGTTCCTGTCCGGAATTCCGGACATGAACATTTGTGTGTGTGTGTGTGTATATATATAATTCAGAGGTTCATAAATAAAATAATAATAGTACCTAAATTAACAATTATGATAACATTTCAAAGATCAGTCTAACAAAAAAACTAAAGTATTGATATTTCAACTTAAATTCAAATAATATTCTATTCACATTTCCATTTACATTTAACAAGATTGGTTGATTTGGTTCATTTAAAGTACACCAAACGATAGATTGGCAAACTAAAGCATTCCAATATTTTCCATAGTCCCGAAATCATCTTAACCAATTCAATATTCCACATCTTGTGTTCGCTTGGACGGCTACTATATTTTCATCAGATCATGCATAAAATTAGGCTTACAGGATCCCCCCGGAGCCAACCACTCAAGGTGGGGAAAGTGTCGTGGAACACTTTCCTAATTTGTTAATAGATGCTGGGAGTTACACGATAGACAACGTTTTCAGTACAGGGGGGAAAAAGCACAACTTGAAATGTTAAAATAAAATACAAATGGAGCACAACATAAAAAAATCAAACTAGCAACTAAATTTTTTTGATGGTATTCTAGCCGAGGCTGAGATGACTCTGTTGTACTCATTGTGAATTTTTATAGCCTTATGGAGGTAGGGCCTGTAGAAATTCGCCTCTGGGTGCATGGGATGCTTTGAATCTTCCAAGTGCTTCAACTAGCTTGTGTGGCGAGTCAAGGTTTGTGTCCACTGGGTATAAGCTAAGTAATAGTTTGAATGAGTTTGAGGACTCCGTGATTGACTTCGGATAACCATAGGGTGAGATGTATACCCAACTCCATAAGTTAGTTGTCTGCCTCCTTCAACGAGGTTGTAGCTTCCGGGTTTCACTTCTATGAAACCATCTAGTTCATGAGGTTTTACTGTTGTAACTACAAGATTAAATACACACATCTATTCATGGATTCGTGCATCAAAAGTATTTGTATATTTAAATAGGGAAAAGGTGCAAATAGGCTCATGTACTAATAAAAAAAGTCAAATAAGCCCTTATTTAGGAGACTCTGTCCGGCCTTCGCCATTTGGGGTGGTTCCCGATGGAATTTTTTGATGAAATTTTTTGAGCATCTTATTCATTAAGTCTAGTTTACTCATACCAAATTTCAGCTAAAACTTCAATCGGAAAGGCATTCAAATGAATTCTTGAAAATAACTGCGCAGTTAGAAGCGCAATTATCTTCAAGAATTCATTTGAATGCCTTCCCGATTGAAGTTTTAGCTGAAATTTGGTATGAGTAAACTAGACTTGATGAATAAGATGCTCAAAAAAATTCATCAAAAAATTCCACTGGTAACCACCCCAAATGACGACGGCCGGACAGAACCTCCTAAATAAGGGCTTATTTGACCTTTTTTGGTTAGTACACGGGCCTATTTGCACCTTTTCCCTATTTAAATATAAGTCCAATACTTTTATGAAATTACAAATACGAACCCTATACGTAAAAGAGGCGTATCGATGTGTATTTGTATAAGATACGTATCAGATACGAGGATACAACATCGAGGTAAAGTATCGATGCACCATAGGTCATTAGCACCACCCTGCATATGACTTTTGTTTTTTTAGTGCTTAATTTATACATAAATAATTACTTGAAATACTCATTCGAGCTTTTTTTAAAGTAAAAAGAAAGACACTTTCTTATTTTTTTTTGGGAAAATTCCTGAAATAGGACGAAAAAAGTTTGAAAATTCCAAAATAGGATTGTCATGTTTTTATTTCCAAAATAAGAGTAATTATTGCCAAGTTTGGAAAATACTGCCATGTTTGAAGTCTGGTACTGCTAAAACATGACAGTCCTATTTTGGAATTTTTTGACTCTTTTAGTCCTATTTCGGGTAATATCTCATACTAGATTTTTTTTTGCAAACATTACCTTAGCTTTAGTGATATTATTTTACCTGATACTAGATTGGTACCATTTTAGTTTTGATAAAAAACAAAAAATACGTCCAAAAGAAAATGCTCCATTAATAAATAAAGAGAAAATAACTTTAAATAATATCAACTATCACTGATTAACCAATAATGATACATATTACATACTTTGAAAATGATTTTTAATAATACCAACTATTTGAATGTATTTTTTTTACTCCAAGGGGGTCTGGGGGGAGCCTGGAGTAATCAGAGCTGAAACTCACTCCATTGAATTTCCAATCTTTGTGTGCCTAGCGGGATTCGAACTCGAGACCTCCCACTAGGCATGATAACCTCACAACCAGCTGAGCTGGAATGCTTGGTTGACCAACTATTTGAATGTAAAACAAGAATAATATGAAGTCAACTTTTGACAAGAAATCTAGACATCGAAAACTAAAAGCGATATTCGGAAATAGATTCACTTATTTGATATTTTAATACGAAGTATTAGTTTTTGGTGAATAAAGTAACTAATTTTTGGTGAAGTGATGCTCTATATCACTTTTAGTTTATATTTAAATAGTTGATATTATTATAAGTTATTCATAAAGTATGTATTATTAATGATGTTGACATTATTTAAAGTTATTTTTTCGGTAAATAAAAAACTTTGTAACCGATTCAAAATATTTAGTTTCATGATATGTCTGTACGGAATTAAACGCAAACGGACGGTTTGGCCGAGTGGTCTAAGGCGCCAGATTTAGGCTCTGGTCCGAAAGGGCGTGGGTTCAAATCCCACAGCCGTCATGTGTTTTTTTTGTATCCTGAGCGAAGTCGCTTAGTTTTTTTTTGTTTTTATTTTTATTTTATCATTCTGACAAGCTCTTTTTATGTACTCTGTATTTTCCTTTTCATAACAGGCCAATCACCACACATGTGTGAAGTGAAACCTTTCATGCTTTTCCCTCCGCCCATGGCTCTTTCACTTCTGGCGTCAAAACCTAATCCACATTTCAGTTACAATTGCTCCTCTTCTGGTAATTCCTCCAGTTCCAAAGCTTCCAAACTCCCCCATTTCTTCCCATGGCAAAAGGTACTTACTCATCCATTAAGAATCGTGGAAAATACCCGATTCTCCTTCAGGAGTTTTTATTATCTCACTGGTTGTGGGGGTTTTCCAGGTAAAGGTGGGACCTTTAAGCGTATCGCCTATGGGGTTTGGGACATGGGCATGGGGAAACAAGGTTCTTTGGGGATATGAGGAATCCATGGACACTCAGCTTCAGCACACTTTCAATTTTGCTCTTGAAAATGGGATCAACCTGTTTGATACTGCCGATTCCTATGGAACGCTTGGGTTGAATGGACGAAGTGAGAAGCTTCTTGGCAAGTTCATCTGTGAATTTCAAGGTCATTCTTCCACATTTTCCTTTTCGTTTTGTTGTTGACACATTCAGAGTTATTTAGTTGCTGGATTAATTTTCCTATTTGTTAGCTATCATTCTTAGATCTTCCGCCTAAAAAAACTTCAGGTTAACTGTCTAGGTGAACTCAATCTGTGAAGCACATAACTTTTCAGCTCAAAACTTAATGAGACATGATGAGTCATCTTAACTAAAATGTTGAAAGTCAGAACTTTTAACTAAAATCTGGTGTAATCGCTTTCACTTTTGAGCTAATTTTCATATTCAGTTTCACTGTCAGGGTTGAATCTCATATGTTAGTCGAACATTTTGAAAAGTCAGAACTTTTTGCTATATAGTAATTGTATAGAACTACATTTCATATTCTATCAGATTGTCGTCTTAGTAGGATTGAATCTCAAATTCTAGCAGAACATCTTGAAAAGTCAGAATTTTTAGCTATAAAAGAATTTTTCACTACACCTAATTGCCACATCATTATTATGCATTAAATTTTAAATAATCTCAAAGTCTAAAATTATTCATCAACAATGATATTCATATGTTATTAGTATTTCTAGGACATGCATTAAATACATTTTAACTATAATCTAAAATAATCCGGGATTTGAATCTTGATACCGGATTATCTTTTTAAACAATCCCCGTAAATAAACTCTTCCCCTCAATGCTAACCTTTAGAATAATTTGACATGTCATCTAATTAATCTTCAAATAAACTAACCAATGATGTTGCCATTAGGAAATATCAGAATTTTTAGCTAAAAGATAACTGTTTTGAGCTGCTTTACATAGAAAGCCGTCTTCACCTTTAAGGTATGAATATCAAATTTTTGCTGAACTCTTTGAATATTCAAAATCCATTGCTCAAAAACAGTTTTTTTTTGGGTGCTAAATATTGAGATGCCGTACTGGAGTTGTCTCCCTCAAAGGTTTTTATCGATCTTTTATGTTCTGTTTGACTAATTTGCATATGACTGTATGAGGCAAGAGTCTTTTTTGGCCATATAAATGATTCAGGAAGTAAGAGGGTGCAAGATGACATTGTGATTGCTACAAAGTTTGCAGCATATCCGTGGCGCCTGACCCCTGGACAGTTTGTGAATGCTTGCAAGTATGCTTCATCATCATCATTTCATCTCAGATTGAACTAATGTACATAATCTACTCGTAGTTACTAGTTATTATAACGCTTTGAACTTGAATATGTTAAGTCTATCTTATATTGATAGAATTTAAAAATATAAACAAACATATATTACCTCTGTCCCTAAAAAGTTTTTCATTTTACTATTCATATGATCAAAATTTTATGTTCAAACTCGGCTTTGCGCTGAAATAATACTTTTAGCATAATTTCACAACATGAAAATAAGGTTATGAGCTACTACTCGACTAATCGTAAACACTTGACTATAGTATGGACTATGGAATCACATGTCTTTATATGTAGAAGAGCAGTCTTTATGGTGATGAATTATGTGTTAGGTCTTCTTTAAAGAGGATGCAAATTGAACAAATTGGGATTGGACAATTGCACTGGTCTACTGCAAACTATGCACCTCTACAAGAAAAAGCTCTCTGGGATGGTTTAGTGGCAATGTATGAGAAGGTTACCTGAACCTCTTCTGATTATTTGGAATGCTTATGTATTTTAGTCTAGATGTTTAAATTGGTAATTATTCACTTTTTCTTCAGCCATTAAAATACAATTATGGGGTTATAGGGGTTAGTTCGTGCGGTTGGTGTAAGCAATTACGGACCAAAACAGCTTCTGAAAATACATAATTACCTTGAAGCACGTGGAGTTCCCTTATCGTCCGCTCAGGTTCATAGATATCTTCCCATCTTTCATACAAAGCTGTGTTATATGCATGGGTGATGTGTTGAGTATTTTGCGTTAGTTCAAAATTAGGTACAATTCTCATTGCTGAGTATGGGAAGTCAGCAGATGGAAATTAAAGATATATGTGATTCTTTGGGCATACGCTTGATTGCTTACAGCCCCCTTGGTCTTGGCATGCTCACTGGAAAATACAGCCCTTCCAATCTCCCTAAAGGGCCTAGGTACATTGTTTTCACCTGTTTAGCACTCATGGGCGTAGCGGCTAGGGGATGGGCAACCCGGGTAGCCAGGCCCAACCCATATTCGAAAAAATAAAACTTTATTACTGTGTGTAATCTTTTTAACATAATAATTACAACCTCCGGTCCTAAATAAAGTTCCCAGTTTGACTTTAGCTTTTTTAAGAAAGTGGAACTTTTTCTTTTGACTTTCCCATTATACCCTTACAAAAAGTAGATTATGTGTATTGGGAGAGAAAAAAGTGGGCGTAAAGTAGCTGAATTAAGTAAGGGTATAAGGACCTGCCTTAAAAGGAAAGTGAGAACTTTATTTAGGACCGGAGAGAGTATATCTGTATATGAACGGCTTATTTTTCTGGTCCACCTAAAAATCAAGTTTTTAAGGATCCTGTAGAATGCACTGTACAGAAACAATCAAGATATAAATATCCTTATCACTCAATTCTTCTTGATAGTCCTTGTTAAAGTTGTGAGTTCAGTCTCTCGCTTTGTATTCATGGAAAGAAGCATGGAAGCCCCTTATAGATTAGCTAAAACAAAGAAACTCTTTATAAATAATAGTTATTATTTAACTTGGTTGATTCTATGCATATGTGTATTAACACTTGTATCTTTTCCTTTCATCTTCTCAAAAGCAATGGCATCATTAGTTTGTGAGAAACTGAATTGGCAGCTTAATATATATAACCGTGGTACAGATTTGGGTCAAAGTGATCAAATGGGATGACATTGCACTGTTTTTTTCTTTCAATTTTAGTCATCTAACTTAATGGGGAAATTACACTTTTGGTACCCATCTTTGAGTTGTTTAACTTTTAGTCATCTGATTATTGTGACTCACAATAATCAGAATTTTCGTGACTCACAATAATAAGATGTTTGTGACAGATACATTTTATAGTTTTGATTGTCATTGTTGAATTTCCGCACTTTCAAACTTTATACAACTGTGCCTTTGACGCTTTTGAGTTTGTGACATTGACACTTTGATAGAGACTAACAAAGCAGCAGGAAGTCAACAGTAGAATGATGATGATCTCGGGATTACAGTAGCGGAAATAGAAGTAAAGAGAAAGATACAGCGAGACACTTAGAGCAGTCCCCTCTCCCAAGTCTATCCCGATTTCTGCCTAACCACCTTCTTCCCCCACTTCCCACTCTTAAGGGCCAGCCCAAACTCATGAATTATATGGGCCGACACCCTTATTTGTATATTATTATATTATTTAATACGGAGTATAATTCTATTATTCTTATTATTATTGGTTGTTCATGTCTCTATCATATCTCCCCCCTTGAACAACCACCTTGTCCTCAAGGTGAGTGATAGTAAACAACCTTGATCTTCAACTTCAACTTCATCCTGGCGCCCCTTCCTTCCCAGTACCTCACAGATAGTTGGAACAAAAGCTTTAGCATTTGAACATTCATCATGATCACTTCCTCAGCCCTGTACTTCTCTAAGATTTTCACAGCCTTTCCATATGTCTCTTTGTCTAGACTCCTGAATCTGGAGATTCGCAATCTTGCGTAGTCCTTCATATTCGTCAACCATCTGCACATCTAAATTGACCCGACCATCTAAACTGTGCATCTAAAAGTCCAACCGACTTTTAGCATATCAAAAACCGGTACCGAACCGAGGTAGACTTCGGGTCCCAATTTTCGGGTCCCAATTTTTTCGGTTCGGTTTCGGTTCGGTTTTTTATTTATCGGTTCGGTTTTCGGTTTTTCGGTTTAAAATGTCAGCCCTATACAAAAGTGCCCAACAGTCATCTTTCCTAACTTCTTTTTCATTCATCTGAAATACTTGCTGAAGAAAGGGCAATGTAGCTTTGACCAGGTCAAATGGTGTTGGTGGCTTGCATCTATAGGAGTTTGACAAAGTCCAGGTTGTGGCTTCACCAGCAATATTTCCCAAAGCCCAAACAGCCCGTTCACGAACATCATCATGGAGTGAATTAAGAAACTGCATAGACTTGGGAATAGCACCCTGTTAAATAACACCCCTTTTGTGTTCAGATGAATAATCAGCTAGAACCCAAGGAAACACCAGATACTGAGTTAACTCATTATAAGGCCCTCCAGCGAGTGTGCTACGAATAATCAAGTACTCAGAGTTTGTATATTCTGTCTCCTCCTCCAACCTTCCCTAGAGACTTCAGCCACTTCTAACACAACACGTTGATCAACCAAAGTAATAATGCTAGTCTTGTCCCTGTACCCTTTTCGAGACATTGATTCATTTCTGTTTGTAACGATCAAGCTGCCAGCATCTCTTGCATCATTTTGGGTTGCAAATTTCAAAAACTCTAGAGCAGTAGTGTCGTTGAAGGCTATCTCAATTGCTGTGTTTTTAAGCTGAAATCTGCCCCCGGACACCTGTTACCTTGGATATCATCTATCTTCTATGCCGCTTGATATTGCTGGGGTTCTTTTGAGGTATATTTCCACACACTGTGTTTATACTATCACTAGTTTTTCTCCTTTCAGAATCAAAAGTGGAACTGTCAGGCCACTTAGATGTTTTTACTTGGACTATTTTCAGTCCCACACCAGATCAAACCAGACTTGGATGGTTATAAAATACATAGAGATCAGACGTTTATAAGACCAGACCAGCAAATTTCAGTCCAAGTAAAATCATCCTTAAGTAGGTTCTGGTTCTGGTAGCCGTCATCATAGGATGAATAGGTAGATAGGTCATCTTCATTCTTCAGTGCTTCCTTCAAATGGGCTTCTAGAGGATAAACCTGGAACAACTTCCAAATTAGAACAGACTCTTCCTGAATGGATAGCAACCACAACCATACCCCTCACACTATTTCTACAACGTGATGTGGTGATATATTGGCCTTGTGGATATGTTCTAAACAATCAATACCTATTGCATCCAAATCATTTCTATGGCAGAAACCATTCCTCCTGTTAGTTTCAGACAACTCAGCATTAAGCCAAGCATTTTTATTCACAATTTCACATATTCCACAACCCATTTCCATTGCAATCAATGTACAACCATTCAGAACTATGGTCTGATGCGCGCGTAAACCGATTTCCAAACAGGCCATTACAGAAGGATTCCTGAAACCTCTTTGCTTCCCTGTCCTGATCTGCCCCAGCTTTATTAGCCCAAGTGAGGAGATATAAGCCTTACCAGTTCTTCTAAGCGGGCAGAGTTCCATTTCTATATTTCCAACATCATCGTCTAGTTCAGCTTCCAGACCAGCGACCACTGACGATTTCTCCTCTGGTCCCTTGTCACCAACAATGAACGTATCTTCAGAGAGAGGTTGGCGTGGATTGCCAGACTCCTGCGACTCAGACTCCTGCGACTCGGACAGCAACTGAAAACTGGAAGCTTCTCCTTCCGATTGCATCTTACATTGAAGTGAACTGCTAGCGTTTGACGAAGTTGTGAACCTGGAGACACGGCTTGCGGAGAAGATTGCGAACTGGAAGAAGATGTTGGCGAGGAAACTTGCGAACTAGTTGAAGCTGTTTGCGATGGCAATTAGCCATGCCTTTTTCGAATTTTAGCAGTGTCGCACCGTCCTGGATCGACCTGTAGGTTGGTGATTCTGGTGTCTCTGCTTGTTGCGCCGGTCGACCATCTTCTTCCGTGTCTTAGTGATCGTCCGTTTTAGCCTGGTGCTAATCTCAGCCAAATGCGTTCGACCTTTTCTACTCTTTTCATTTGCTGAATTGCTGGTCAACCATCTTTGTTCATTCGTGTCTCAGCATCGTATGCGTAGAACTGATCTCCACTTCAGCGATCAACACTACTCTGGGATGATCAATCAGACTCCAGGAGCGAATGCTCTGATACCAATGATAAAGACTAACAAAATGCAGCAGGAAATCAACAGTTGAGTGACGATGATCTCAGGATTATAGTAGCGGAAATAGAAGTAAAGAGAAAGATACAGTGAGACACTTAGAGCACTCAGAGCAGTCCCCTCTCCCAAGTCTATCCCAATTTCTCCCTAACCCCCTTCTTCCCCCACTTCCCACTCTTATAGTAAATCTATTCTTAACTCCTAAGGGCCGTCCCAAACTCATGAATTATATGGCCCGACACCCTTATTTGTACATTATTATATTATTTAGGCTTATATATGTTTTAAGTCCCCGCAAATATGACACAATTTGTTTTAAGTCCCTGCAAAATATTTTTCTTGTTTTTCATCCCTGCAATATGCACTATTTTGTTTTTAGTCCATCTCTGATTCTGAAACTACTCTACATACAAAAAAAAGTTATTGTCAGTTACATAAATCTACTAGAAATATTTAAATTCCCCCTTTTATAATTTTTTGAGGCTAATATGAGAGTTAAAACAGTGTAAAACTAAGTATTCACATATAAAAATATATATTAAAAACCTTCTAAGAAAGAAAATTAAATACTTTTTTAATAACATGACAAAGAATTAGAGAGTATTTATTAATCGGGGTTATTTTAAGGTCAATCGTAAATTGTTATCATCACTGATGGACTAAAAAGAAAACCACCCTAAATCGCAGGGATGAAAAACAAAAAAATTATTTTGCAGGGATGTAAAACAAAATGTACTATATTTGGTGGGACTAAAAACATATTTAAACCTATTATTTAATGTAATTCTATAACTCTTATTATTATTGGCTGTTCATGTCTCTATCACACTTTTAGAAGTTTAGTTATTCTACTATTGTCACCAACGTCAAAGTCGAGTGACGAAACGTCTAGTGTCATGGTAGTAAAAATCAAAGAGGTAAAAGTGGAAAAAACTCTGCAGATTCATGAACACTTGAGGGAATAAAATAGCAAGTTTCCCTTTTTAATGTGGGAAAAAGTTTTATTGTTTCACCTCATCGTGATTTTCAACAGGGGCTTCCTGTTCAGTAACATTCTACCTGGGCTGCAACCTTTGATGAAGTCCTTAAAAGATATAGCTCGAAAAAGGGGCAAAACTGTACCTCAGGTTCATTAGTTAACTTGTTCTGTGGACGGGTTTTTTAAGCTTTCCTGGTATATTTAGATACGATCTCAGATGCAATTATAATCACAGGTTGCAATTAACTGGTGTTTGTGCAAAGGCACGATTCCCATACCGGGAGTTAAGTCAGTGAAACAAGCTGAAGAAAATGTAGGTGCCCTTGGGTGGCAACTAGATGCGGATGAGTTGACAGAGTTGGAACATGGAGCTCTTCAATCTCCGCGAAAGATGATTCAGAACATCTTTCAAACCACCTAGTCATTACTTTATTCTCTCTTGTGAAAACTGTGTAAAGAGTAAAGACAGGCAGGGGCCATTTCATTTTATAAGTAACGGGCTCAACCTTTTTTATTGCCCACAAGCCAGGAAAAAAATCTAATTAATACTCAAAATGTGATTTCTTGTGTAATTGGGTTATTTGGGTACAATGTAAATAGGGAAAAGTATGGAAAAGATACTTGTGGTTGGACCCGTTTTCATATAGGGTCATGTGTTTCATTCTTTATCAAAGTGGTTCATGTGTTTGAATTCCGTTATCACAAGAGGGTCATGTCGTTAAAAACATCTGAAAAAGATCGTTAAAAGTAATTTCGATTTTCATAAGTGCTCGGAAAATTAAAAGAAAAATACCGAAAGGTGTGCCTTGTTAAGATGACCTCCAAACCACCTTTGCATTTGGAGTTTCACATCCGTTTGAATTATTTTTAAAAAATGATTTCTCTAATATCACTTTTGTTGTGGCCTTTTCGGTGACAAGGGTGCCTTAAGACAAAAAGGAAAGATGGCCTAGCAGTCGTTTTATTGAGGCGATTAGGCGAACCTTCCAGTATTTTTCTTTTGATTTTTCGGGCACTTTTGAAAAATCGGAGTTACTTTTAAAGGTTTTTTTCAAACATTTTTGACGGAATTTAAATACATGAAACACATGACCCTATCTGAAAACGGGCCCAATCACAAGTACATTTTCCGTACTTTCCCATGTAAATAAAATGTGATTTAATGTTTTTAGCACACTATTATCGTACACTCACTTTATATTTCATTGCCACTACATAATTTATATTTTAAATAATACTCTAAATGTGATTTCTCGTGTAATTGGGATTGATACTGTGTGCAAGGACTCCCGTGCAACACGAACAATGTAAGTAGTCATGGACCGGTTCTGGGCCGGTCCCAAACTGGGCTTTTTAATATTTGGTGAAGATCCGGAATTGGCCCGGGTTTCCATCGGTTCGGGATTCCACTGGGTCCGGTCCGGTCTCGAGTTGGTCTCGGGCTTTTTTTTTTGCTTTTCTGATTAACTCCCGACTAGTGGTGGACTTGGGCCGGTTCGGGCCCGGGCTGGGCCTAGGCCCGACCGGGCTGCCGGTTAGGAAATGTTGGGCCCGGGACCGGCCCGGGTAGCCTCCGGGTCCAGGCCGGGCCTCGGGCTCTAACAATTTTTTTCCTTTTTCTAATTACCCCCCAACCCCCAACCCCCCAAACCACTCCAAATGGCCCAAAATATCCAGCCCAACCTGGGGATTTAAAAAAAAGTAAAAAAAACTTAATAAGCCCAGGCCCGGACCGGTCGGGCCGGTTCATGTTTTGGGCGACCCGAGCCCGGACTAAAAACCCCTCGGGTCGGGCAAACCCGGACCGGTCACTGGCCGGGCCACCGGTTCGGGCCGGAACAGTACCGGTCCTGGGCCGGTTCCGGGTCGGGCCACCCGGCCCAAGTCCACCACTACTCCCGACCCCCCCCAAAACCCTCCAAAACACCCAGCCCAACCCGGGAAAAACAAAAAAAAAACAAAAAAAAAGGCTCGGGCCCATTCCAAAGGATGGGGTGACCTGTATCTGGCCCGCCCTATCACCCCGGGCCGGGCCTAGGCCCGGAACCAGTCCAGGTCCACCGGGCCGGCTCGGTCCCAAACAGTACCCGACCGGTTAAACCGGACCCGGGCCAAGACTAGATGTAAGTATGAGTAAATTTTATATAATTTCAGGTATAAATGTGTTTGGTGTGACTCATTTTATTTTTGTGTAGCTTATACTCCATATTAAACATTTATGTAAATACTGTTATTATATTAGTTACTCACATCAATACCGTATGTAAAAGTGGAACGGTAAAATATAAGATAGGAACGTGCATAAGTATTATGTTCTTATCAACTTATTTAAATGAGAAATATATTGATGCGAGTACATAATAAGATCAGAGTTACCTATTATTGATTTACTACACAAATATGAACACTTAAAAACTGCATCATATGATTCATATCACAATAATTCAATACTTGTAAATTACGGGGGATTCACAATTCAATGTCCCATTCATTCAAAACAAGATGCAATGAAACAATTTTTATTAATGTCTGTAATTAGTTTAGTGGACGATAAACATTTGTGTTGACTTTTAGATAAATTCTAAAATGACATAAAAATGAACTAGCATAAGATAGAACTATGAATATGTTATTAATAAAAGGAAAAATTGATAGTAATAATCCCAATTATCGGCGGTCCGCTCATACTAACCCCAACTATTGATTATTTCAGAATAATCCCAACTTTAGGGACCTTTCGCCAGTAATGGTCCCTATAAATAAATTCTTGTAGTTTCTAAAGTGGATGAGAAGAGATATAACAAGTAATCCCTATAAGTAATTCCAACTTTTAATTTTTACGCTTAATTTCTATTTAAAAATCACTTGTTATATGAGGTAATATCTGGTCATGGATCATTATTGGCGGACGGTTCATATAGTTGGGATTATACAAAAATAATCACTAGTTGGGATTATTGTTAGCGGACCGGCAATAGTTGAAATTATTATTTTCAATTTTTCCTAAATAAAATAAGTTTTATTGGAGATTATAAGAAGGGAGTATAATAGGAAATTAGGAACATAAGTTATTCTTATTATAGTTCTATTGTTATATGTTGGAGTAATTTTACTTTTTTTTGGGCCAATTCTTTCTAACCTATATAGTATTTGTTCAATGTTAATGCCAACATCCTTGAACTGGGATTCGAACCTGTGACCTCCTCCTTGGGGGTGCCACAGTGATGCCATCAGACCATAAGGGGGTCTGGGGAAGGAGGCCTGGGGAACTTGGAGTAATCAGGGCTGAAATTCAGCCCATTGAGTTTCAAACCCTTATGTGCCTAGCGAGTTTCGAATTCGAGACCTCCCACTAGGCTCAATAACTTCACAACCAATTGGGCTGGAATACTTGATTTACTTTTATTACTTCGTATCTTGTAATAACTTTTCAAGCTACTCCGTACTATTTACAGTCTGCAAAGATATACGTAGTAGCAATTATCTTAATATCTTAAAATAGCTTCACAGGGTTCACGCTATGTATGTGTTGGTACGTCAAACATTGTATCTTACAGAAAATACACCTTAGATGTCATGAATAAATTGTTCAATGTTTTATGTTGGAGTTGATAAAAATTGTATTTAAGGTGAAGGTGGCAAAGGGCGCACCTAGACATAGACCCAGTCCAGCAATCCAGCCTGAAACTAGGTTTGATACTGTTACGGGCTAGATCAAACCAGGTCTATTATTAGGGTGCCAGGTATGGAATCAAACTGAGCCTTAAATTTTGGGTAGCCGGTCAAGCCCGATCTGTAGTTATTTGTTTCCCAGAACTGACTAGTCCAGCACTGAATCGAACTGGGTTCATAGCTAGGAGCACCCAATCCTTCACCAAGGATGGGCATTGTATTTTAATGGGAAAACTATCAAATAAGCCCCCGTACTATACCGAAAAAGTCAATTAGGCCCTCGTACTTTACAAACACTCAATTAAGTCCTTGAACTATTAAAAAACGTTCAATTAAGCCCTTTTGGTCAGTAAGGAACCGGTTTCCCAGTTAAATGTAACCCGTTTCCTGGCAGCCGCCGTTGCTGGGGTTCGAGCACATCGTTGCTGTCGTCGCCGTTTAATCGGGAAACCGGTTACTTACCGACCAAAAGGGCTTAATTGAACGTTTTTTAATAGCTCGGGGACTTAATTGAGTGTTTGTAAAGTACGGGGGGCTGATTGACTTTTTTGGTATAGTACGGGGGCTTATTTGATAGTTTTCCCTTTTTTAATTGAACTGATATTATTTTCAAACCAAACTAGACTTAAATATGTTAACAAGACTTCTAGAACTGAAAATATATATTGTCTCCCATCTCCGTATGTATTTTAACTTTTGTACACTTTTTTTGGCAAGTTTTTTGTTTCATACTTTTCCACAAGTTCCTTTTCTATAATACTCCCTCCGTCCCCAAAAGATTGACCAAAGTTGACTTTCACGTGGATTAATAAAATAAAAAACTGTGTGGTTGAAATTTGTGTAGAGGAGATAGAATTAACTTTAGTCACATATTCCTTACTTTAAGTGGAAATGACAAATCTTTTTGGGACATCCAAAAAGGAAATTTGGCCAATATTTTCAGGACGGAGGGAGTATTTACTACCCCTACCATTTCCCTTAAATATTGTGCCAAACTCTACTATAGCAAGAATTCAATACTGAGGTAGTATAAAACAAACATTTAACAAACCATATCAGATCAGACTTAGACAAACAGATCAAATAAGAATATTTCAATCTGATTAAAAACCTACTCAACCTACACTCATAGAGCACGAGATAAAGAGATTGGCTGGGCAAATAACAAAATAAGAATTGTCATGAAGATAATGAATTCATCCATTCTTTGTACTCCAGGGGGGTCTGGGGGAGGGGGGCTGAAACTCACTCCAATGAGTTTCAAATCCTTATGTGCCTAGCGGGATCCGAACTCAAGACCTCCCACTAGGCACGGTAAACTCACAACCTGCTGAGCTGGAATGCTTTGTTTCATTCATAATACAGTTACAACAAAAATATATCTTGAATCTAACATGCATCAACAAGAACACGATATCTCAAGTAAAGTCCAACAGACACAACTGTTCCACCCAACTAGGGATGTTTTACTTGATCTTCTTCTTTGGCCTTAGCTGAAATAAGAAGATGAAGGCATGAAGCATAAATCAAATGGTCACAACAAAGACCAGTGTGCACTGTTTGAAGCTTAAAATAGAAAATATACAAATTATACCTGGTTGTTATGGCCACACTTTTTCTTTCTACAGTTAACAGCGCGAGGCTGCAAGCGGGCATAGCCTCTAGAAGAAAAGGAAATAGTTTTTTCCTTTATACGGGACGAGTGCTTTTGAATAGTTGGATCACTGGGGTACACACTTTTATACATGACTTTGTGGACCTTTTTTTGTCTGTACAGACAAAACGTATTCTGCCAAAATACGTTTTGTCTGTACAGACAAAAAAACCTACACAGACATTTGTAAAAAGTGTGTACACCTAAAAAGTGTGTACAAAAAGTATTTTTGGCTTTTGAAAGCCACAATTTCCACAAATGTTTAAAAGTACAGAGCAAACTGAAGTAAGGCTATACCAAAAAGAGTTGCTATATAATGATAAGACTCGGTTATTTCACTGATTCCCATTTCCAGTAAGACATTTACGGATTGTTGTTTCAGGAACGTACCCACTTTAAAAAATAAAAAAATCTTAAATTGCTTCTAAATCTGGAATCTGTGAAAACGTGTCTATTTTCAAGGAATAGCAATGGTTTACAGAAGGTAGATTTATTTCTTCATGTTTTATGGTTTTTTTTATCCATTCATGTTTTATGGCTTAAATGCTGAAACATAGCCCAATCGTAAATGTAACTTATTATACACACAAATTATTACTATTTCATGAGAAAAGCCTGCCACAAAAAAACTTTTTAAGAACAAACTTGTTTTGGAAAACAGTACAACTCAGCATAACATGAAGCAATATTGGAGTGATGAGTAAAATTGTACTACGTATTCACTACTACATTTTACCTAACGTAAAATTAAAGATGTAACATATCTATAAAAGTGTTACATATTTCTCTAATGTAACACTTTTTAAACCTAGTGTAACATTTTCTAGAAGTAGAAATGTTACATTACGGTCTATAAAGTGCTACAA